GCAGAGGGTTGAAGAGAGAGAAAGGGAGACAAGGTGGCCCCTTTGCAGCTTGGCTGCAGCTCTTGGGGAGGGCTGGTGGAAGGAGCTTTAGTGGCTACGTGTTGAGTTATTGGTCCCTGTAATCCGAGACCCTCCAGCGAGGCCAGTGCCCTAGCGACATCTGCTGGCCATCCCCAGAGCTGCACCTTGTCCCTGGGGACAAGATTTGCGCACACACTGGGCTCGGCATTCCCACCACAAGGCCTCTTTGTCCAACCTCCTAACCCATCATTTCTACTCTGGGTTCAGCCAGATGCTCAGAGGGGAAGAAGTAAGGGCTCTAGAAAGGGAATCTGTCACTGACCTCAGCTGGCTGCCATATTTATGGGAATGGCAGTGCAGAACCCAGTTAAAGGGAAAACTGATTTCACAACAGTCCACCTATCCTGCTGGGGCTCCTCCACAGTCACCGTGACTGCCAATTACTGCTGTGTAGTTTAGCCTCTGACAGCACTGCAGCCTGCAGACATATTTACCAGTCCATTCTCTTCTAGAGATCTCCATACTTGAACACAGTACTCTAGCTTAATCTCCAGAAACCAAACCAAACAGGTTGCCACTGAGTGAATGCCAACTCATGGAGACCCCCATGCGTGTCAGAGGAGAACTGTGCTCCGCGGGGTTTTCACGGCTGATTTTTCAGAAGTAGATTGCCAAGCTTTTCTTCCCAGACACCTCTGGGTGGACTCAAACTGCCAACTTCTCAGTTAGCAGCCGGACACATTAACCGTTTGTATCACCCAGGGACTCCAGCTTACCCTCATCCATTCTCAACTGGATTTGTCCTGGGTGGCATGCCAGGAGGCTACTTCACAGGGCTGACGTGCCCTGGGTATCTCTGATGTGAGCATCAGTCTGTAAAAAGACAGGCTGTCTAGCTGAAGGGAGCCTCCACTGAGAATGTGCTTCCTATAGAAGAGCAGGATCTGCAAGAGAAGGAAGGGAGGGAAGGCTGCTGGGCCCACCCAGGCAGCCGGGACTGAGAGAGTCAGAGGTCTCGTCAGACCAGCAGCCCAGGCAGGGAGGAAGGACTGAGCTTCAGCTTCCCAAGTCCTACCCCAATGTATTCCCAGGTCACATTTGTCCTAAGGCAGATGTTCTAAACCTCTTTGTGTGCCAGGAGCCCCTTCGGCAGCCTGGTGAAGCCTGTGGGCTCCTCAGAATAGTATGTTTTTAGTGCGTGAAATGAAACAGATAGGATTACCAAGGAAATTATTTATA